GTCAGGCAAATCTTGGACCCGGATAGTACGATCTTGAGCACAATATTACTATGGACATACTACAAAGGACATTTCAGCGCTCCACAAGAAGCTCGCCCGAGTCTCCATTCTTTGGTCCGCAAGTCCCGATGGAGGCTGTCGCTCTGAAAACCGTGTCATTGTGTCAGTTTGTCGTAGGGGCCGACGGCTGCTGCGGAGTTGTGTGCGAGCATTCGGCGTTTGAAGGCATCGTTCTGGTGCAGTGCACGGAGTACCTTCTCAAGAATATGTAAGAATTCAACTCTCAGATTAAATTGGAAGCGATTTTAGAGAGCCAGACTTGGGTGTTCTGACTGACGGATGGCTACATTGTGGAGCTGCCACCCTAAGCCGGTCCCAGCTGAAAGTGGGAGCGAGCTGCCGGCTCCGCGACGACTCCGCTGGAAATGTACCCCGGTGGTGCACAAACTCGTCGCCTCATCCGCGGATAGACTCCACAGGTTTGGCTTTATGCTTTACTGAATGGTCACGAATGAGCTGGAGCCAGTGACTGGCAGGCCAACACGGTGAAAAAGCAACGATTACCGATCATGTTCCACGTTTTGGCTGATTTAGTTTCGATTGGATTTTCTTTTGTTTCATTGGTTTTCCCTGTGTCCATTTTCTCATGTTTTTGTCTTTGCTCGTTAGGTTTTCGTTCCCACCTCCACCTCATCTACAACCGAGTAAATAAAACCGGGGCCGACGACGTCAATTCGTGAAAACGCGCTGCATGTTTTGAGCTAACGGCAATGTTGTCCGCAAAGGCTCGTCAAGAATCTCGACGTGAACGTCCACAAGTTCCGCCATTACGGGAAAGAAACGATCAAGGGGCTGAAAATGAGTCCAGACGCTTTCATCCAGGTGGCTCTTCAGTTGGCCTACTACAGGTCGGAGAATGATAAGCTAGAGCGTAGGATAGACTGACATGTCTCGCTAACGCTTTTCCACTCTCTCCGTGTGTCCAGATGTCACGGCAGAGCCGTTTCCACTTACGAGAGCGCCTCCATACGTCGCTTTAAGGACGGCCGGGTGGACAACATTCGCTCGGCCACGCCAGAGGCCCTGGTCTTTGTTCGAGCAATGACCGGCGGGAACGTGCGCGACTGCGTAAGAGGGGGAGGGTTGACGCTAGACTCGCGATGCTTTCACATCCGCACAGTTTGAATCAAACTCTGGGAAGTGGTCCGTATCAGAACGACTTGAATCACACGACTTGACTCGCGTGTGTGGTCATTTTTATATAACATGGGTTTCAATGGTATTGCTTCATTCTGAACAAGTCCACTTCCCAATCAACACGAGGGAGTGCAAACTTGTGTCACGGCAGTGTCGCAATTGTTTATTCTGGACTTCTTCTTTCGAAACGATTTCCTTTTGTTCCCGCACTGGGCCATCTGCCCAGAAGTTTTCTGACCAGAAAACATGAACCAAAGCTCTGAAACTAACCTTCCAACCACTGATTCGGGTACACGAACCATGAACCGCACTTATCCTTACTCGTTACCACCAGGATGCAAAGAAGATGGAGTTGTTACGGGCCGCTGTAACAGCACAGACCAAGAATTCCAGCTTGGTAGCGATTCCCGATTCCTCTCGCTACCTTGAATTAGCGTCACAACGGGCCGCTGTAACAGCACAGACCAAGAATTCCAGCCTGGTAGCTATCCGATTCCTCTCGCTACCTTGAATTAGCGTCACACAGAAAAACAAAATGAACCCGTGGTGTCGTTTTCCCTTTTCCAGGCTATCATGGGGCTGGCGATAGACAATCACCTACTGGGATTACGGCAGATGGCGCAAGACCTGAAGATCGAGAAGCCGGAGATCTTTCGAGACGAAGCCTATCGCGTCAGTCACGAGTTCATTCTCTCCACAAGTCAGGTACTGTATCGCGTTTGCGGAGAATCCATTCAATTAAGTCAATGAGCCTGTTACTCATTCTTTCAGGTCCCCACCACCGTTGAGATGTTCTGCTGCTACGGACCTGTGGTCCCAAACGGATACGGGGTGTGCTATAACCCTCAATTGGACCATTTCGTATTCTGCGTGTCAAGCTTTCGGGAGAGTCAACAAACGTGTTCATCAGAATTTGTCAAAAGTCTGGAGCAAGGGCTGTTAGACATGAGGGATTTGTGTCAGAAATACACGACCTGTGAGCCCAGACAGGGTCCTGCCGAGATGCCGGCTGACCTGAGCAAGAACCCGGAAGCACCGGTACTTGACCTTGTGAAGACACTGAGCCAGACTAAACTGCAGGCTGGAGGTAAAGCCTAAAAAAAAAAAAATAATAATAATAATAATTACAAAATACCGTAGCTGGTGTAAGACACATTTTTTTTTCCTCCCTCTTACTGTACATGCCATAATAATATCTTAACATCAATACAGTGGCCCCTTGACGTATAAGTACCGTAACTTACAATAAGAGTTTCTTGAGCTACAAGGTGTCGCTTGGTGAGCTTCATTTGCACCGCTTAAGTCACAGGTGTCAAACTCAAGCCCCGGGGGCCAGATCTGGTCTGCCACGTTATTTCATGTGGCCTGCGAAAGAAAATGACTTGCGCTAGCTGGCTGATGTTTGCTAGCTGAAGCGAGCTGTGACAATAAAGAGGCTCTCCTTATTCAACTTATTAGTATTCAGTTGTTCTTGGTGCCTATTTTCACTTTCTCGTCAAGAAACGGGGGACTATTCCATAACATCACTTTGAGGAGGCGAAACAATGACTCGTTGGCACGGGTCTCCAATTTAGAAGCAAAGCATGCTTGCTTCAAGCTGTTTATCACTCACAGTTGACATTTATTGTAAAACTGACACCAAAAAAAAAAAAAACAAGAGAATCAAACATCAAAATACTGTGGTGATAATAATCCATTAGCTTCGTGTTCACATATAATTTCAAAGGCCGTGAGTGTACATCTTACGGAAATTATGGTTATAGTAATTGCGGTATAAATCTTCACCCTGCATTTTTTTCAGTGGAACTCATTTTGGCTCGGCATGTTGTGGCAAAACGTGGTACTGCACGTGAGCAACACCAAATACGGCCCTGCACGGATATTGTTTAAAAAAAAAAAAAATGGATTGTCAAAAAAGACACGCTCCATATTAAGCAACATATCATTTCTGTCCTGTAAAAAACACATATGTCCATTTTGGTCACTTTTAAAAATGTGTACGGTAAAGAGGTGTCCATGTTTCAGACATCGTATAAACATTTGAAAAATGCCAAAAATGGACAGACGTCTTTCTCACAAAACGGCGACAATATTAAGCAACCCGCATTGATATGAAAGAATTTCAAAAGCGTTTTGACTGATTGTGTGTGAATTCTGACTCAAATAGACATTTACGGAACAGTTCACAGCCATGGTACGATTATTTACATGCGAGCATCTCAATGGGACGACTGAGTGTCAGAATTGATCTTCACGCCTCTAGGGCTTTGTTGTGTTTGCGCCTTGTGAGCCCTATAAGCAAAACAAAACAAAACAAAAAAAAGCAAACAAGCCAAAAGCCAGCTGGCTGATGTCTGCTAATGAAGCGAGCTGTGACAATAAAGAGGCTCTTCTTCACCAACAGCTCACATACACACAACTACCGACGCCTGTCAAGAGTGGTTCTAATTACCTAATATAAGACGTCCCGTTATCTTTGCAGAAAACAGCTGCTGGGGAGCGGTGCTGTTGACTTCAAAGGAGTATTAAAAATTAAACAACCTGATGTCAGGCCAATAAAGTCGGTGTTGGAAGTATCATCTTAAAATGAAGTCGAAGTGTGACAAGACAAAAAAGTTCTAGGCGAAAAGAACAAAATCGAATGAAACCAACCGCCCCCCCCCACAAAACAATGTTTTGCAAACCAAAATAAAGTCCCCAAAATACTAAATCAGAAAGAAAAGTTAACCGCAATGTGACAAGAAATAATTCTTATTGTTACAGGAACAAGCAAATAATTCTTAAAAAAAAAAAAAAAGTAACAGTGAAAAAAGTCATGTTATGAAAGTAAATTGAAACTTCAACGAGAATAAAGACGTAATGTGACAAAAAAATTTAAGAGAACAATAAAATCGTAATGTTACGAGATTAAAAAAAATCTAACAAGCTAAAAAATAAGACAAATAAAGAGACTAAAGACAACCGGTTGCAAGAGAAAAAAAAACAAATGCAATGAGAAAACAGTGCAAGTGGACTGAGTATAAACTCGAAATGTTACCAAAACAATACATAATGTGATAAGTATGAAAATAAAGTCATGACGTATAAGAAAAAATAAATAAAAATTCAATTCAATTGGATGCTGAGAAAAGACCAAGTGGAATAAAAATAGTCGTAACGTTACCCAAAAAAAAAGACTTGACGTTGCAAAAATGAACGCAGCAAGAAAATCAAGTCTTCATGTCACAAAAAACAACAACTCTTAAATGTTTCTAAAATACACTCAAAATGGAACCGAGTCAAACAAAAGGAAACCAAAAAAAAAAAAAAAAACAAGTCGCAGGAATTGACTCACAGCAAATTCACAACAAAATGACACAAGATAAAATGGTTAAAGTTATATAATAAACTAAAAATTGAACAACATTAAAGTTGGATTGCTCATAGAATAAATTCAAAATGGGATGATGAGAAAGTCCTAATTTTACCCCCAAAATGTTTTACCGTGGAAAATATAAATCATCATGTTATGAGAAAGTTTTATTATCACAATTATTATAATTATTGTTATTATTGTTATGAAAACCATACGTGACAACAGAAAAGGGGTAGATTCAGAATTGGTACAGAAAAAAAAAAAATCTAGAAATGGTGACTTGCATCACAGATTTTTAAAAAATAGTCAAACATCCTTGACCCATTAGAAAAAAAACGTCATAACGTTATAACAAAAATGTCCTTAATGGTCTGAGAATAAACTCAAAATGGAACCGGAGTGAAGTTGTGCTGTTAAGGAAAAAAAAAAAGAAAAAAAAAGACCTAATAGTCCAAGAATGAGCAGAACGTCACGACAGCACTTCCAAACGTGGGGAAAATGAACCAATTCAAAATCCAAACACATCAACTGTCAAACCACTTCCTGGAACTGATTGCGTCGGGGTTCCGAGAAGCGACTGCGTATATGATCAATTGGAATTTATCATCAAAACGATTCTAAACCTCAAATAGAAAAAATATGTTCCAAGACTGTCATCATTAACAAAAAATAATAATAAAAAACTTCCACTTCTACAGTGAAGAGTGTCAGGTCCATTTTCAACACTTAATAATAAAATTAAACGCGCACCTTCCGTCCAGTTCAAGCTTTCCTCTCCTGGAAGGCGCTCAGGTCAAAAGCCGCGTCCATGAACTTTTTCAGCTCGTTCAGGTGGGTCGACTTGTTCCCCGTCGCGGGCGCGGCGGCGGGGTCCCGCCCGGCATACCTTTCGGGGAACCGACCAACGAGGCGAGACTCTCCCACCCTCTCGCGTTCAACCGAATCGGCGCCTTCTCACCAGACGGGCCTCTTGCTGGCCACCACGGTGAGTAAGCGAGGCCGGACGTAGTTGTAGTAGCCCGTGTTTTTGTGCTCCTCCTGACACCAGACCAGCTCGGCGCTCTCGTGTTTCTCCACCTCCGCTCGGACCAGGTCGAAGGGGAATGGAGAGATCTGGAAAAGAAGAAACTGCATCAACCCGCCAGTATTCTGAAAAAATTCGGTGTGCGTGTGAATTTCATTCATCAAGTGGGCGCCACGAAATGAAAGCATCGCGATTAGCCGAGTCGTAGTTGACTTACAAAATGTACGTGGATCACCATTTTATTTCATGCAAGTGCGTGATGAAATAAAATTTAGTCCATTTTTTTCCCCCCAGTGTGTTTTTTTCAGTCCAATTTGCCGACATTTACGTGCAATGTTAATGTTCAAACTGTGTATGATGTTACAGTGACTTGCAAAAGTATGACCTTGGTGAACACTTAGACCTACTACGTTCATGCAAGTGCGTGATGAAATAAAATTTAGTCCATTTTTTTCCCCCCAGTGTGTTTTTTTCAGTACAATTTGCCGACATTTACGCCCAATGTTAATGTTCGAACTAATGTTCAAACATGATGTTACAGTGACTTGCAAAAGTATGACCTTTGTGAACACTTAGACCTACTGCATTCTAATATGAGTCATCGTGGTGTTACTTAGTGGAAAGGTTTTGGCTACAAGTGACCAATATAATACAAAATAAAACGCAACATACCAGCAACAACACCACACCGTGTACATGTACATCATTTAGGTATCATGTACCAAGTGACATGACAAAAACATTAAAACGTTAAGTGTATCATACTCAGAGATGTTGACTTTTGAATGTAATAATACGTGCAGATCACTCACGATATGTTTGTTAGTCAAAGTTGGCTGAAACAAGTTGTTTGAGCTACCAATCAGATTTGTGGACCGGCTAACTGGCCCTGTGAGGTGAATTTGAAATCTGATTGGTTAAAGTGACAACGACCGGGACGACGGATTCTTGAGGCCGTGGGTCGATGAGACTGACGTAGAAACTCAGGCTGAAATCCGATTGGATGGTGCCCATGCTCACACGTCTGTGATTGGGTGCCATTCTGGTTAGCCTTGCTGTAGCAAACCTGCTCCAGTCTGACGATGGCGACGTCTTTCTCCAAGTTTTGCCGCTTTCTCTCTTTGGTCAGTTCGTAGTAGACTTTTCCGGTGCAGAAGATCAACCTTCTCACCCCATCTGGATTTTGACTCGCCGGGCCTTCGTCTGGAATAAGCCTCTTAAATTTAGTGCCTACACAAATTAATAACGCGATTTTAGTTTAATGACATTTTTTTAAACCTTGCATCAAAGTAGGGGAAAATGGGTCGAAGTGTACCTTTGGCGAGGTCATTAAAACTGGACCTGGCATCGGTGTGCCTCAGCAGAGATTTAGGAGTGAATATAATCAGCTGTGCAACGAGAAAAGAAAGTTTTATTGATTTTTTTGTTTCCTCCAGTTTGTGACATCAGCACAGGGACAATGCCTGAGTGTTCAGTCAACCAAAACCAGAATTGAGACTTTGTACTGAAAAGAATGATATAATATTCCCTATGGACAGCCTCACTGATTTGCTCAGGCTAGTTTGTTTTCTCATGCTCAACAGAGCGACACATTTGGAGGCGACAGGGGATCACTTAAGACATCCACTGTAGCTGAAAAACAGTGAAAGCTGTGCATAAAAAAAATTAAAAAAAGAAAAAAGAATAATTCATGTACAGCCTAAAAGTTTCAGTCAGAAGTCGGGCTGTTAATTATGAACGCAAATCATATGATCCAACCATATTTGCCATCATGAGGGTCACAGGTGATCTGAAGGCTTTCTTAGCAGATTTTGAGCGAGTGGCAGCAAAGTTTTAAAAAAATTAATAAATTAATTAAGAAATAATTTTAAAAATAAGAAATACAGTAATGCTGTTGCATAAGCATGCTATTTAGTAGGAGTAGTATTTAGTAGTGTGTGCGCATGCAAGTGCATGCATGGATGCATGGCCAAAGAGTTCAATCTCGGTTTCATTGGACCATGGCAAAATCTCCGAAACACATTAAGTAAAAAATATGTTAAGATCTGAGGTAAACAGAAGTTGATCTTTTTGGTCATAATTCCAAAAGTACACAATACCTACAATGAAAACAGTGAATAGTAAACAGTTTGAAATACTGTAGCGGGTTGCACAAACCTTTCTGGCTTCTGCTCAAAAGAAAAAGGTCAGTTAATTATTGAACTGCTATAAAAAACTGGTGCGTTATGATGAAGATCAAAAAGCTACCGCATACATAGTTATGAGCCAATATCATGATAATGCTTCACACCTGCTGTTCAAAAAAACTTTTGAGCAGTTTGTCACAGACGTGTCATAGACATGGTGCTAAAATAATAAAAAATAAATAAAAAGGGGTGGTGAGGGTGCGGGGGCATACATTTGTTTTGGAAAACTAAGACAGTCGTGCTTTACCGGCTTCCTGAACGGCAGCAGAATCTGCCGTCTGAGCACATGACAGTAGTTAGCAGGCGTGGAGCAGTTAACCACGATCCAGTTGCACTCGTACAGCTGCTGCACTTCAAAATCTCCAGCAAACTCCTTCATGTGAGAAAAGAGGAGAGGGTGTTAAAAAAAAAAAAAGGTGTGGCGTAACCTTGAGTCTAATTTCTACCACCGAATTGTCAGACGCAGTGGGGGCGTGTCAATGGAAAAGCTCTGGGTGCAAGGCGCAGAGAGCTGAGCCAAATTCCCAAACAAGCACATCGAGGATTGCGTCGGTTCCAAATATCAGGATGCTCAAGCACAGCTGACCTTTCTACAAACATACACAGAGGAAATTCCATACGCACCCCTTCCCCTGCTCAACCCCACCCCCACCACTAATGGTTTGAATATCCCATTTGCCGATGAATTTGGCAGCCTTCTGCTGATCGCTGCCTCAAACCAGCCGGCACACGGGACCCGACTGAGTGCTGAACACAATAGTCTCTCAGGGGCCCTTAATGAAAAAATTGGCAATCATCACATAAACTGTTGATGACATAGCAGGAAGCGATTTCAATGAAAATGACATGCATGTATTTGGAATGTGAGAGGAAGCTGGAGTAGCTACAAAAAAAAAATAAAATAAAATCATCTGAAAGTGTTTTTAAAATGTGACTTGTCCCAGGTGGACCTACAGGAAAGTGATCCGGGTCATCTTTGCTCATTTGCAGGAAGCGCTCAGGTCGTGCTGAGGAATGTTCTGGACCCTGAAGACAAGAGGAGAGTATTTAATGTCACGCTGTGGTGAAATGTAAATGCACCTTGAACAAGGTGGGAACACAATTTAATTAACTAGTTACTTGTCACCATTTAAATGAATGAAAAAGCCATTCATCTGTCAAAATACTGCGTATTGAGAGGTAAAAAAAACCTAAAACTAATACTGAAACTAATAACGGAACTAAAATATAGAATTGACAAAAAAAAAAAAAAAAAATTCCAAACAACTCTGCAGTAAAAATTGAACTAAAACAAACTCAATTTAAAATACGCAAGTCAAAACGAAATGAAAATTAACGATAGTCAAAACTCCGAATGTTATATATGTTTTGCTCAAATTTTTCCAAAGCGGGAAAAAAGAAATTTTCTGCTGACACAAAAGGCCTATTTCTTTCACATAATGTTGAAATTTTCCAAGATAAGACAAGAAAACCTTTATTTGTCTCACAATGGAGATATTCCCAATTTACAGCAGCAAAATTATGAAAAGGACAAAGTAGAAGACAAAAAGTATATAAATAAATATAAATATAAAATATAAAAACGAGCATATTAAAAATGGGTGAGTGGGGGTGAGTCCAAGTTTTCAGGACCGTCTATTCAATAGTTTCACCATTTCGAGCCGCTGTCAAAACCTGTCTTAGTGAGTGCTTCTCCTTTGTTGAGAGAATACATGCACCTCACAAATGTGGCATATCAGGATGCTGATTCGAGAAGTGGCGTCTCAAAAATGTCTCTCTTACCATTCCCTCCATCCCGTGAGGGAGGAGCAGGACAATGCCGTTGTGGCGGACCCACTTGGCCTGCCCCGAGCTGATGAACTGGTCGATGATGCACTGGGCCGTGTTGTGGAAGTCTCCAAACTGCGCCTCCCACAGGACCAGGGCGTTGGGACTGGCCATGGCGAAGCCGAGTTCGAACCCTGGGAAGGAAAATGGCGGCCACAGTTTGGCGAAGGGTTGATGGGGGCGCCGGGGCGCGGCTCGCCCACCTACCGAGCACGCCGTACTCGGACAAGGAGCTGTTGCAGACGGTGTAGGGCGCCTGGTCGGCCCACAGGTGGTTCATGGGGACACAGATTCGTTTGTCCACCTCTTGGTCATGGAGAACATGATGACGGTGACTAGGAAACATGCGCAAAAAAAAAAAAAAAAGAACAACAAAGTCTTGAAAATGTTTTGTAACAATAGAAAAGCAAAAGTAGCAACATTCTAAAACACAAAGACATCCACACGTGCCCCCGCATACTCGCACATAATTTTTACACACATGCGCGCACACGGTGCGTCGTCTGTCATCGGGGGGCCCCATTAGCGAGGAAAAGAGGGCGCACGCGTTCCCACACGCAAACGCGTCAAGTTTGGCGCGCCGCCGATACGCGCGCTCAAGCGGAACGCGCCAATATGCTCGGCTCCTGTGAGAAGAGGACGTGAGAGACCGACAAGTAGATTTTTCAGGTACCAGTATTTGTAAAACTTGAAGAAGCTTCCTCCGGTCAAAAGTAGTGCTTTGCTGCATCATCTGGCATCTGAGTGCCAAGGAACTACATACTGAATTGAGGGAATTCATTTCAACAAAAATAGTGCTTTGCTGCATCTCGGCACCAAGGAACTATGGTAAAGTGTATTGAGGAACTTAATTTATACAAAAACAGTGCTTTGGCACTGTCCTGTGGCATCTTGGGGCCAATGAATGACATTTAAGTTTGTGGTGGGGTTTCTTAAAGACATAAGTGGTGCTTTGCTGCCATCATGGTGCCGAGGAACTAAATTGAAGTGAGTTGAGGAGCTTCATTTACACAAAAAGCAATGCTTTGCCACCAGGTTGTGGCATCTCGGTGCCAAGGAACTATGTTGAAGTAAGTCGAAGAGCTCCGCTTAGAAAAAAGAAGTGCTTTGAGGCCTTTTGGTGCCAATGAACTTTTCTTGAAATGAGTTCAGGAGTTTCATTTAGACAAAAGCAGGGCTTTGCTGCCTTCTTTTAAAATTTTAAGATAATTCAAATACTCTTTACAATCAATTACTGACAAATTTTTGCTGTGCGTGGCAGGGGGACACTGACAGTATACACATAATGGACAATAAAAAAGTATTTGTACTTTTCACTTTTGAAATTCAGTACATTTCAGAGCCTGTATACATTTAGTTTTGCTTTGGTTTGTGGAGAAATGTTTGTGAAATATGTGCACTCAAGGTTATTGTTGCGGCTGCATTACGCTGAGAGCTGTTTCTAATATTTGGACCCTCTCAAGTCGGAGACCAAAGATAAATTAAAAGCATAATTCAGTATGACGGAGTGCCATTCACAACCAACCCAATTGTTGTATGACTAAAAACAAACATAAATACACCGTGCCGCCCCAGTGTGAAGCTAAAGAACATAAATAATTTTAAAAAATGAAAATGATCCTTCTACTAAAGTAAATATGTTCTCATTTTGCGAGGGGAATGCAGTTCTTCTCTGCAGGTCTTCCATTGGGTGTGGTGATATTCTACAAGTGTACCTCTCAACCGTTCATGTCGCTGTCGATTTGGCTGTTGTGTCACTGTGACGGGAGGCGCACCTGAACGTTCCCCTTTCGACGTCTTGCCCGCTGAGTCGCACGTGGACGCCGTCTTTGAGAAGCGACCCGAAGGCCATGTACTCTCCCAAGGCCCAGTCCAACTGGCCGTTCCTCACCAAGTCTGCCCGGCTACGCAGGATACGAGACAAACC